TTATTATTATTATTATTATCGTTATAATCAATGCGTTAACATGAACTAAATCAGTGAATAAGTAAATGATTCATGGAGATTGAGAACATCATAACATTTCTGTTCATTATTATTAAAATTATAAATACATTATTATAATGATATTCCAGTCTAATCTAATATAAACAGACAATTCAATCTCTTTATATTCATCAATTTGCGATTTTCCTACAGTTAATATAAAAATATAGTCAAAATTACTTAGTAATATATACTTTATCAGAAAAAAATCATTCTATTAGTATGCATTGTGCAATGAAGTCTGTTGTAATAAGATTGATTTCTAGGTGTGAATTTTATATTCAAATTATAACCACTTTAAAAGGACACAATAAATGCTTATTTTCTTTCCAACTATAATATCCATTGTAAACTTAAACTCCTTATTCGTGATGGCATTATTCTATCTTCGAAAACAGAACGTTCCAGTAGTCTCATTTCAATTCTAATTAGTCATATCGACATAGTTATGCTTGATGAAAAGCGCACTACTTGCTCCAAAGAAACTTTATCTAAGATAAAATTTCGTATATATCTTAAGACTAGCCCAGTGATATCATCGAATTGATTTGGCAAAGCGAAATCAGAAGTCTAAAAAAGGAAATGATTTGAGAAGATTGTGTATTTCATACAAACGTAATGAGCAGATCACACAAGAAGCGTAGATGGTATGGATTGTGTAGTTTAGGCTGTTTATATGCACTTAATGTATTTGGAAGATTAATTCTACATCTTTTTCAAGCAAAGATGTAGCCAGTTATTAAAACGACTTGGGATGATGGAAGTAACTTTAGGGCGGGGTTATAACTTATGGACAAACCAAACAGATTGAAGACGGAGATATTCGAATTCTGGTGCTAATTTCACTCACCCATATGGTAAAACTCCATTTCGGTAATTTATTCAGACCTAGTTTCAACCTTACTTTGACACTAGTAAGTGCTTAAAACTTTTCACGGTCACTTTAGGATTGCTCGAAAGTCGTCCATAAGTTGCAATTTCATCAGTGTCAGTGTCAGAGAATAACCACGTTTCTCTAACAAATGAAAAAGGATTAAATCCTAGCCACATCACTCATCAAGCTGAACCCGTTCACACCTTAGCAGACTGTCGATTAGATGCTTGACAAGTTAATCAAACTGGTCAAAGTCATGATCGACTAACGCGGATGCATTATTCAATAAATTGGTTTCGGCATATACGCAGAGTAGTAGCAGTTTATGGAACTCAATTCTAATTATTCTTTCTTATTTAATGAACGTTTCTTTGTTCTTTATGTTCCTTAAAAGCGCGAACATCAGGTTAAAATAGATCAGGCTAATATATTGTTTCATGGTGTGACCTCAACGTAAGATAACTTAAGTCACACAGTCACATCATTCCAATCAGTTATCGAAGACTGGTGACTGAAAAATGTAAATAAGATTAATAACATCGGTTGAATTTTACCGCTACAGGTGCAGCTACATAGCAAGGTCTTGAATCTAAAGAAAAAATCGTAAGTTTTAATAATCAATGCTACTGAAATAGTGATCGCGAAATCATATGTCGATTTATTTGGCATTTACAAGATAACATTTCAAAATGACTGTACTACTTTCAACTACAGAGTAATATATGTTTCTAATAAAAATATTTCAATACATGGTCAGATGCTGAAAAGAAAAATTCAAATTTATTTAATTAAATTGGTGACAATTTTCTGGTTTTCAACAAATCTGTTTGTACTCATAGCTACTACATAGATGTCTGCTGCTAAATATTCTTTAAAAAAAATAAATGTTTTGATTGTTATTGAGGTTTAAGTGAAACAACTTTTGAAAAAGTGAAGACACTGGATGGCTGTTTAGGTCTAGTATGAGGTTGCTCAACAATTCATGTTGACGAATCTGGAACTAGATATCGAATTCAAGACCTTATGTATCGTTCGCGAAAGTTTAGCATCTTGACCACTAAACGAAGATCCAATGGTGTGCAAGTCTAATTTCAAACACTCCAAGAAGTTGAGAGATCTTAGTAGTCAAACTTAGATTAGTCCGAGGTTTAAACAAAACTCAATGATTCACACAACCTAATACTGATATTTTGATTTGAAAGTGAAATGAGCAGGTCGAGATGACCTGACAGATGTGATTTATTATCGCTATATATTTCAAATAATTCGGTCATACATATATGTGTGAACACATTTGCATATGAAAAATACTAGGGATAAAGTCAACATGCCAAGTGATAAGTAGAAGAATCTATAAGTTGAGTTATTGGAAAAGATTTGTGGCTTAAGTGAATGATTTTGGTAGAGTTCTTTCATCTGAATCGGGTTGTTTAATAGTTATCACAATACTGTAAGCCATAAAATAGCTTTAAGATTACCCAAACAGATCCAAACTTAAGATCAGTAATTTTTGTGTACACGAAGAAAGTTTAGGTTTCTGATAGCCAAGACTTCTATAAACTTGGGAAATCGCCTTTGATCTTTTCCATACAATATTTCAGAAGCATTTTGTTTGTATGTTTACTTATTTTTCTTAAGGTACAGCGTATCTGATTGAGATTTATATAACCATTATTACATTTGTAACTATTACGGCATCATTGAATCAAAAACGATAACTATCTTAGCCGACAGGGGATGTGTTGATATCTATCTAGGTTATGAAAAATAATATCTGATGAAATGTTATTTAAATTGTCAATCCCTAGAGAACTGTTCTGTTTTTTTTTCCAAATCTAGTGAAACTATCTTATAATTAGCTGTCATTATCATCTAACTATGATTATCGATATGGTTTCTTTTGTTCAATCCATATGTGATCCACTTCATTTACACACTGACAATAATTAAAAATCGATACTATGCAATGAAAATATAAAAAGGCTGCATGTTGTTGTGAATGTTACAAATGTTAAACTGTTTGATTGAATAAAGAAAAACTAGAAATTTCATCAGTAAAATATTAATCATGAACATGTTTTGTCATATGTCATTCAAAATAGAAAACCTGTTATTGTACGCTAACTAATTCACTATTATCGATGGTAAAACAATTCTTGAATACATGATAATGCATTTACGTAAAACTACACTTTCCAACAGGCACAAGAAAAAAAATTACTGTTGTAAAAAAACCAAACTTTATCATCCTGCGCATTATTATTAGTGATATTATTATTATGATTATTAAAATTGTTACTATTATTATCAATTCATTTGAGTTTTCGACAACACCAACAAAAAGTAACTATGATTTGTTTGTACGCGAAAATATGAAAAAAAAACGTGATACTGAAGTTTGTATAACACATAAATGATATAAACAATGAGCACAAATGACTCATTGAACACTTTGACAATTGTGAAATTAAAACAAAACTCAAGGTGATGATTTTCTAGATTATGCTTTAAAATGTAGGTTGAAAAATAAATTGCATAAGCATTAAGCAAAGAAACAAAAAAATCACTGTATTTTTCTTTACAAAGTTATTTAATTGTGAAATTAATTTTATTCTTAGACGGATACTAATGAATGAAATATTATAAGCTAAGCGATATTAGTTTTTATTGGTAATTTAGGTGTAATCAAACTGGTAAGTAAATCAGTTTGTATAGATTGTTTACATCCCATGTTGACCTTAGTTAAACAATAATTGAAAACCAAGATGCTTTGGTCAGTCGCTTCGTTTTAGCATAAGACTTTATAAAGGCAGTGCTCACTGTCGATCCCGTTGAGGGTCGGCCCGCATGGTCTTTAAGAATCGCAGCGAGAACTTCATTTTTAGACTACGGAGCTGAAGTTCGGTTACTTATAGATTTAATGTAAAGTGACAGCTTCAATGCTTGAAGGTCTTAAAGTTAATCACCTATGGGATTGTAGATGTACACTACAACTATAGAGAAACCACGTCAGATCACATAACCAGAAATGCTTCGACATTTGTCAGTTCCTTACAAACCACTTCACTGAATGATCGATAACCTAGCGAATATTGATCTCATCATTCCAAACATAAAAACGCAGGTATTTAACTGAAAGGCTCGACCTCTCTGATTAAATCCCAAGTGTGTTATGATATATTGAACATTTTCACTTGGTGAAGATATGTTATTTGATTGAAGAAAATTCTTAAATTTATAAGTCTTCAAAGGCAAATCTTGTTATGTCAGTTTTCTGGTCAGTTATAACATACACTATCAATAAAGTGATTTGAAAATTTGTAAAAATAACTTAGAATCCACTAAATTATAAAGTAGTATCCGATTAACTGTTTTCCATCTTATACATGTTTATGCCCAAGAAACTATGCCTATTTCCATCTTTCACAAATATTTCACATTTGACTTACAGTATCAACAGCTACAACGATTCGAATATGTATGTGAAAATAGATGTTCGCATCGAAAATGTTTGATAATTTTATCGGATTATTCAAAGTAATGAATGAATCCTAATAACACATTTTGAAATAATTATTACTGGATAGATAATTTTTGCCGTTTCTTGTTTTCAAAAAGGATTGAAAAGTAACTCATTAACATAACACAGAAACAAGATGAATATCTAAGTTCAAAATAAATTCAGAATATCTTTCTACTTTTTAACTAATTTTAATTGATAGTGTACTATGTCAGAGAGTATTCAGAAAAAAAAACTTCAGGGAGCTATTCAGTGCAAAATAAAATGTGCTATATGGGAAGGAAGCAGGGTAAGTTTGTTATTCATTCTATAAAGCAATAAACAAGTCGCTTATAAAATTAAATTTTTGCCAAATCATTTTGTCTGCACTGATGATCAAGGCGAAAACTGGAAATAAATTGGTCTCATGATAGAAATTTAATTTCCATTCAAAAATTCATTGATTAAAACTATTCATTACGTAACAAAAGTTTTATTAACAATTTTATTTCAGTAATTATTTCATTTTTAGTTATTCATTAGATTATAACTATGAATCACACTTACTTCATGTATGTTTCTTCCAAATCGATTTTTTCCTTTTTAGTTTGCAGTAGCTCATTTCGAAAATCGTTTAGAACAGTTTTAAATGGACTTAACAATTCTGGATAATTCTGTGATATGACATTCTCTAATTCACAAACACTTCTATATCTAAAAGAAGAAGAGAAAAAACAATCAGAAAACTAAAATGAGGTAAAATCAAATAAGACAAAAATGAGACAAAATGAGACAAAAATTCACGAGTCAATAATCTGGTAGTTTGCGTCATGAATGAATTTATACAAACAAATGATACTACTGAATATAAATTATAAGTAGAAAGACACTATTGATAGGGATAAACAAACATCAAGTGTATTTACTGTTCAAAGTAATTTTGGCCAATCGGAATAGTAATGAACTCGATGCCGAGTAATGGAAATTGAAATACTGAATTTGGGTTATCTTAATTCAGTATAAATAACTGATAGTATAGAGCTCAATCAAACAACTCATATTGTTCAGTAATTAATTAAAATATTTAAGTTACATTTACAGTATCTATTTCAAGTGGAAGGATATCTTACTGACCAATGATCTATATTGTTATCAATTGTAAACTTATAAAATCCAAACTATCAAACCTGTTACTCATATATGACCTGAAATATTCTGTTCAAATAACTGACAAAGTATATTCCAACTTAAGGAATGAATGCATAGACTAAAATATGGACTATCAACTTTCATTGTATTCAACAATTAGTTCACGCTCTAAATGTTTACACAATTCCAAATGATATGAAAGTGATAACACGAAATTAAGAAAGTAATGTTCCGTTATGAAACAGTTATACTTGATGTTAGCAATCCTGAAGTTATGGTATAATCAAAAGATCAACGAATATGATTTGAGAAATGCGACTAGTGATTAGAAGGTAATTGTTACAAGGCGTAAATGTGAATCAACACGAATAACTTGACAATTATCACTTTTAACTTGTTTACTGTGCTACACCGGCCATTAGCTCTGTACTAATATTGCTTAGAAAATACTTACATCAGTAATTGCATCTTTCTCCACTAGTAAAATTATGGAGACGTTGAATATTTGATGACTATCATTATTGAATAAACTGACTATATTTCGCTTAATCCCGCTATTTTACTATTAGGCTATACCTGATCAATAGCAAACCTTAAACTCATCCGATTTGTTGACATAAGAATGTTTATAGAATAGTTAGTCGATTTAAATCATCACTATCTAAATCAATAGATCACAAAACCAATAAACACATATGTAACGACAAACTCATCAAAATAATTTAACTTGATGTTCGGTGTTCTCTAAAATTGTTTCCTCTATAGTTACATATCATGATACATTTCTTTATATAATTAATTTATTCTTGTCTGTAAACTGATATGTATTCTGTGGTTAATTTTCAGAATAGAATTTACTATGATTACAATAGATGACATAACAGAATTATATGATTTCGATTGACTGTTCTTATACACAAAAATAATAGTATTCATTCTTGATTAATAATAATAATAATAATAATAATATATGTTACACAGCGGTGATTTAACAATGATTTAATCATTGTCTAGTTAATGTAGTTACGACTGGAAGATCAATAATAAATGAAAATTATCCATTCAGTTACTTTTCATTCACTCCACTAATAATAATTACCAATCAATAGAATTGATTTATTTCAAATAAAGACTTAATAATAGGGATTTTTTTTAAAAAATTCTCAGAATAAGTACAATGTTAGAACAAAAATAACAATTGATTTGCATGCAAATCTTAGCTGGAAGATTACGTCTGTAATATAATATCAGATTATCAAAGACATTTAACGATATTTTTTGTTATTATTGTAAAACTTGAGTTAAGTGAATTTCATTAAAAAGGAAACAAAAAATTGCATTAACAACTAATCAAATCATAGTGTAATTTATATTGTGAGCTAATCTGAGCCAGTTAATGCTGTAAATCAGGAAGCATTCGATATCTGTTTCATTCTAGTGTAAGACTTTTAAGCTAATTAAAATGAGTCCATGAAATCCAACATTCTATACAAACTTCTGCTTGCAACTTTGGTGAATAAAAAAATTACATTAGAAACCTGGAAGTACTGGACGGCCGTTTCGTCTTGATACGGGACTCACTAGCAATGTGCTCCTACGACTCCTGCACCGCGCAGGATTCGAACGCAGCACCTTCGAACTTGCGCGCGAACGCCTAATCTCTGGACCACTGAGCCAGTTTAAAACGATGTTAATAGTTATATCTTACAATTATCCATCTTATAAATAAATCTTCCTCAAGTTTTAATTCCATAAAAGGACGAATATTCACATGAATACATATGAACCAGTCACTGTAATGTATAAATAAATGACCACAATCAAATAGATTGCTGAATAACACTTTTATTAACTTTTTCACATTGTGTGTTTGAATGCCATCTCATTAAGTTGACACTCTTTACCATCTGACTGTTTACACACAGCTTATTATGTAATTCCAATACTTTTTAATGATGATTAGGTGAATATCAGTTTACTCAAGTTTCGATCTACTTAATGAGAAACTACTGATCGGAAAGTTTACTATTTTATAACAAATGGTGCATTTTTCCTCTTACTATTTAGACTTTTTCCATCTATTATGTGTAGCGATTCAAAGAAAAGGATGTGGGGGTCATGAGTTTTTTTCAGATCCTTGTTTAATGCCTCTTGATTTTTAATAGTTGTTCAACTTAGATTAGTTCTTGATGTAAATCATAAATATACTCATCTCATAAACTGGTTTTGTAAAAACAGTTGTACTACACAACAGTTCTATAGATAAAGGCTGCACATAAATTTCTGAATTATACTTCATGCTAAAAGCTGAATTTGTAATTTAAACCATTTATTCTCCATCAGTTTTTTCTAACATACCTTCTTATGATATCAAGAAAGTTAATTAGTAATCAATAATTAATAGATGATGAAAGTGTAGTTCTAATTTTTATCCACATAAAATTGATCTCAGTGGATTAGCATTTTCTTTTTTGTAAATATTCACCCAAGTTTGCACTTTTATTTACTTTGAATCATGTGAAAAAGTTACCCACACTGATTGTTATGAAGTACTACAAAAGAATTTTGGTTTTGAACCATTTCAATCAATATAAAATTTATGCCAGATGAATAATTGAAGTTTAGTAAGTAGAACTCTCTGCTGATCGATTTATATGATAGCGAATTTAAGATGCTATCAATAGATCAGTTTCAGTTGAAGTTTTTTGTATCAGATAGCACTGGTGAAACAAGTGCTTCGCTGACTTTCCCTACCACCTACATAGTATGAGTGTAGTCAAGTCAAAATCACATCCTGAAAATGGGTGATTTACACATGCCAAACTAGTTTTCCTTTCTGTATAGAAAAGTCGGTATGTATAAATTGCATAAATTTTATGCAATATAAAAGGATACTTTCTTTAATAATGAACCAAGGATCAAAATGTATGATCATCATGTCCAAGTTTCAATTGTTTCGCAAAGAAATGTTTATCATATAAGTGTTAGGTTCGTCACCAAATATGCTTAAAACTATTACTGGTTCACCTTAGTCGATAAACGAAAACGAGACAACGAACCAGCGTCCAGGTAGGATACCCTGATGCATATATACCAAAGAGTCTTGGTATAGCGCATAAAGTATATTCTACGAACACCCAGCAAGCATAATAATCGGAAGCACACAAATCGCGTTTATTTATACATCATAGAAACGTCCTTGGGACAGTCACAAAAATGGCACACTAATATACACAGCAGCCAATCACAGCCATGGTTTTTCCTGGTGGGAATTGAAATCTCAAGGTCAACTGATCAGCCCATGCTGGCAAACGTGATAACCAAAATAAGGCATTTATCAAGCGAGTTTTGGGGATCTAACATCTCCAACAAAGACCAGCATTCTTAGTTGGAGTCTTAGAGATGATGCAATTCAGTGGCTTGAGATATTATTAGACATGGTTCAGAACAGAAGTCACAAAATGAACTTGCTGTAATGAGAACTTGCTTAATTAAAATAATTCTTCATGGTTATACCTTAAAATGAAGAGTATTTTATTTTATTTCTAATCATTTTCAATGTACTTCATCTACCTCAATTCTCTTTTCATACTTTGGTTTTGTTGTGATAAATGTAATCCATACTTATTTCAGTGTTTTATTGTACAAGTATTGATATAAACTAAACAAATAAATCTACAACTTATCATTATTATCGATTTTAGTTTGTGTTCTTTAATCAAACTAACAATATGAACTAGAAGAATCTACACACACAAAAAAAAACAAAATTCACTCGATACACACTGATAATTCTAATGTCTAGTATACATATATATATATATATATATATATATATATATATATATATATATATATATATATATATATATATATATATATTTACATCGATCTTTATTTCTTAATTCAATATCTTCAATAGAAATCAATAAAATGAGTGAAATTCGAATGGTCAAATTCATTACCAGCTGGATTTGTACAATTTTGGTCAATATGAATTTATCAAGTGTAATATTGAAATTTGAAAATATCTAAATCATGCCGTTGTGTATAAATAATATTATCATTTGAACTATTTAAATTCAGTTAGTTAAAAAGAAAGTTCAAAGTAACCACTGGAAACTTAAATAACAATAAATTAACCTCTAAATTTAATTCTATCATATATTGTTACTTGAATGATTCTTCATTAATAAAACATTATCTAAAGCCAAAATGATAAATGTATTAGCTGTGTTTTTCTCTTGTCATCTTATTTACTCATCGATAATTCTTTTCCAAAAAAAAACAAACAATCAAACTAATCAATAGTGTGACAAGAAAAAAAAACAATAAAATCAACTATTACATTGAATATGATAGAGTTAAAAGTATTTTAATTAATTATCAGATGAAGAATTTACTCCTACTAATCTATGATCATTTGGCTTATTTCATCGTCTTTTCTAATTTGATTCATTCAGTGTATGTGAATTCAATTCAAAGAGAATAATTACAACTTTTAAATGATTTATTATTGGCAGTGCCATTGATGAGATAATAAATGTGTTTCTCAGAATTTCATA